AATACACTATGTACTAACCATTGTTACTCTCCTAAAATCTTGTTTTGAGATTTTGTACCACTGTTTTTATTTTTTTTTCTTTCTTTAAAATAAAAATAACTGATGTCAAAATAAAATAAAATAAAATAAAAAGAAAATATCAGGCAAGGGCCGGGGATATAGCTCAGTGGCATAAGTGCCTACCTGACAAGGACAAGGCTCTGAGTTCAATACCCAGTACCACAAAAAAAAAAAAAAAAAGAAAAGAAAAGAAAGAAAGAGACTATCAGGTGAGTTCTAGAAGCCCAAGCAGGATTAGCCCACAGGAATGCACCCAATCTGTGGTCAGGGCTACTGAATGAGTATGCAAAGTCTGGTGGAGGTGTACAGTTCCACTGCTTACACAGCTCCTTATCACAGTAGCGCTACATTCCTAAACTTGGCCTCATTGTCTCTCCCCATCTATCCTTCCTCTCCCCCTCCCTTTCTCAATGGGAAGACAAGGGATCTCATAAGACCCTTTGCTCCCATGAGTTTTAAAACATTCACTTAGCCCCATTCCAAAGCAGGCTTGAAGTTACTCCAACCCTATTAGGATACATTTTATTTCTTATTTTAAGAATAAAACAAAACAAAACAAAAATTCCATCAGCAGTTGTGAAACCAAGAGCAGGAAATCATACTGGGCACAGTGAAAAAGCTAATAGGAGGTTGATAAATACACTCATTCCGTGGGCTGCCACCCTACTGATTAAACCCACTCCTTCTGCCCCAGCTTTCATGAACCTGAACTTATCCAGCCCTCAAAGGCACAAGATTGGGCAGGTGGAAAAGAGGCAAATGGAAAAGAGCATCCTTCCTGGACCAGAAAGTACACATGAGAGAGTTCCCTTTTCTAGAAATCACAAGCATGCACTACTAAATGGTCCTGAAGGGAAGCAGGAACTCGAGGACTTGGCACCTTGACCTCACAGAGCTGCCTCACATGCCCTATGACCAACAGAGACTTCACCCTGTTGGGTGGAGAGTCACAGTCTTACCTTGGCAACCTTGGGGTTGCTGTCCTGTAAATGGGTCAGGAGGGAATGTTGTGTCCGCTTCACCTGACTGGTGAAAAATTTCCTCCATTTGTGCCCAGCAAAAGCAGCCAGTTGCCCAAACAAAATGAAGGCTGAACACCTCACACTGTCGTTCTCCTGTGGGTGTCCATCAACAAAACAACAGAGTCAGGTCACAACCAAAGGCAACTGCATCAGACACACCATAGTCATGGCTCTTGGATTTACCTGACAGGGCAGCATCAGACCCAGAGCCCTTTCTCATTCTTTTACATAAGCAGACACACGCCATCATTCCACTGGTGTTAGGCACCTTGGTTTCTCTATCAATTTATCCAAGGCCTACAGCAACATTTAAAGGCATCTGCATTCTTTTTTCTCCCCTTTCCCTTTCGCTTTCTTTTCTACATCACCATTCACTGGATTAGTCCCTGCTAAGTACTTGCAGTCTTTTTGCCAAGTCACCTCTCTGCCTATGGTCCGGTTCCTCCCACTTGTAGTGGAAATAAGGATCCTGCTTCTCCCTGCTACATGCTCCCAAAGCACCTGGCTTTTAGTCTAATGGGTCAGTTCTTCCCTCGTCACACATCAACAAACAGCTCCCCTCCCATTTGAGCTGTTTGCTTCACATCTTTCTCTTTCCAGGTGAGAAGTCTGTGGCCCAGGGTACTCCAGCAATGTGCCTTGAGTCATCCATCAGGCAACAATGTCAGCAGAACCCAGCCTCTTGACTCTGACGCACAGCTTTTTATATCAGTGTTCTGTGGTGTAACTCCATGTGAGCCAGAGGGAAAGGAGCAGGGCTGGGTCTCCTCAGGAACAAGGAGTTAGCTCAGCGGATTAAAGCACCTGCAATGGGGGCCAGGGAGATAGCTCAGTAGAATAAGCGCTTGCCTGGCAAACGCAGAGCCTTAATCCTCAGTTCTGAAAAAAAAAAAAAAAAATGCCTGCAAGCAGTATCCAGGGTTCCCAGGCCTGCCATGTGGGCCCCGCCCCCGGGGCGTGCTGAGACAGCCTTTGAGACTGGGTGGTGTGTGCCTGTAATCCCAGCTCTTGGGAGGCTGTAAACAGAAGAATCACTATGAGTCCAATCTAGTAGTGAGACCCTGAACACCCTGTAGACCCTTCCCTAAAATACAGAAAGAAAAAAAAAGAAAGAACAAGGAGCATCCAGAGCACAAGAGACTAAGCAAGACTGAGGATTGCTGATCATTTTGCAGTCTTCAAAGATATCCCTAGCATGTGCGACACATCCAGAAATTGCACAAGAGTTGCTATTTTGTCCACTGATCTAACAGTGTGTTTATGTGCTTAGTTCAACTCAGCTAACACTTATGGAGAACCTTACCCATCCATTGCCCTCCTGGAATGCTGAGACAGGCAGGAATGCTAAGATAGGTGTCAGTGCCCAGGAACTTGACAGTCACACAATGGGGACACACGGGTGGGTAAACATGGTGAAAGGCAGACAATGAAGAGTGGAGATATAAACCATCAGCAAAGAACTCTACATGAGAACATCCTTCTTCAACAGAGGCTTGCCAAAATGATATGCAAGTAGGGTTTTGATAATGGTCAAATGGCAAACAAGTCCTGAAGTTCAGAAAGGACCTCTAGGCTGGGAAAATAGCTCAGCAGTCTCAGTGCCTGCCTGGCAAGCACAAGGACCTGGGTTCAATCCCCAGTGCCACATGCCATGCTGGCCTTAGAACCCTAGGTGCACCATGCCAGCTACTGAAATGATGCATGGTGGTGCACACCTATAATCCCACTCTGGGGAGGCTGAGACAGGAGGATCACTATAAGTCTGAACTGCATAGTGAGACCCTGTACCAAATAAATAAAAGATTTTTAAAAATAAAGAAAAGACCTCTAAAGAGAGTTAAGGACCTATATCCAAAACACCTGCGGATATTCCAGGCTGGTGAGGTAGACCTCTTCCTCTCCACTCCTCAAAGAAGCCTGGTTTACAATCATTCGAGAGCAAAAATCCTTCTTGCCGGAGGAAGGAGAGAAAACATGCCAGCAGCTCCTATAAAAGCCCCAATGCCTCTTATTTTTTGTGGAGCAGATACAACAACCTGGCACTGTGTCACTCTATGGGGACTCATTGTGGGGAGCTGATACAATTGCCTGGGCACAGTAAAAGGTCCGCTCCCTGCATGACAGGTCTGATCTTCCAGAGAATAACTGGCAGGCTAAACTGATGGCTGGCAAGCCAGGGGTCTCCGATGCGTCACGATTTCAGGTTGAGCCCTCTACTGGTGCTCTTCTCACTGGGCCCATCTTGCCACCTGGTAAGTGACAACACAGGCCTTATAGCCAGAAGACCTGCTTTCCTGTCCACTCACTGCTCTGCACACCTTGGGCAAGGTCCAACCGTTCTGGGGTTTGGTTTCCTCATCTATAAAGTAAAGGGAGTCACCGTAGCTCCCTCTATGAGCTAATCCATGTGACCCGTCTAGCTCTGTGCATGGAGCACAGGACGGGCTCACTGAATACTATTATTATTGTTGCACGTGTAAGAGAACACTGACTGCAGGAGACGCCATCAACATCGTTGATACACACACATATTCTAATTTTTCTTTTTTTTTTTTTCTTTTTTTTTTTTTTTGTTTTGTTTTGTTTTTTGGCGGAACCAGGGATTGAACTCAGGCCCTTGCACTTGCCTGGGAAGTGCTTATTCCACTGAGCCATCTCCCTGGCCCCACACACATATTCACTCCTCTATTAAAATTATACTTTCTGAGGGGAATGAAGGGATGCCACACAACTCTTATGTCCTCCATAGCCCCACACACACACACATTCACACACACACACACACACACACACACGCACAGAACTACCACACATCAAGATTCATAAATGGGTTATTGATGTAGACCTCGTTCTCTAACAACACGCAAAACAATGCTCTCATTTCTATTCCACCTTGATATCAATATTCCAGAATGCTTATGAATCATCTCACTTACGTCATCCAATAAAGTCCTGGTCTGAAGGGTGATGTCCACGAAGAAGGAGCCCAAACCTTTCCCCTGGATCTTGCCTAAGACGATGGTCAGAGCCTTCATACTCTCATGGATGACTTCAGGACTCACAGGGTCATAGAGTCCGTGCACCAGCAGGTCTAGCATAATTTTCTTATGCTTTCTCACCTGTTATCAAGGTTTAAAAAGCATTAATAGCCCAAGAATCACCTCTCTGAATTGTAAAACAGTGCTACTGCCAATCTGCCAGTAACCTGGATCTTGTACAGAAAGACCATGGTGTTCTTCAGGATCTGCCACAACTCTCATCCAAGTGCAAGTGTTCCCATTAGCCCAATGCAAGAGCCCCGCTCACTTTGGTAGGACCATAGAAAGCACAAGCTGGAAAGGTGGGCTGAGGAGGGCACTCGAGGAGGGTAGTGCACAGTGTAGCCCAAGGGCAGAGGAGTACTAGGTACAGGGTAATGGAAAGGTTACAAAATGGTGCTTGAAATTGACATGCTAAAGGAAGATATGTGCATAGAACTTTATTTGTGAAGCAAGATAGATTATAAAAACACTTCCAAGGAGGGTGATGTCAGCAAGTATCAGTTCTGCCTGCAGCTCTGGGTACCAAAACTGATCATGGTGAAGAGCGATAGCCCAAAAGCAACCCTGAGTGAGTCACCCCTTTGTACAATCTGCTCTTGCTGAGTGCAGAAGGGAATCACATTTACTTCTAGCCTAAGAATATGCAAAGGTGACAAGATGTAGCTCTGGGTCTACTTTACATTAAAGAAGTCTCCACTGTAGCAGACAGAAAAGTCACCCTCCTGCTGGCCTTGCAGAAGTAAGCTGCCCTGTTGTAAAAGGGTGACCTCTGGGCACTGGAAGTGGCCACCAGCAGACAACCAGCAAGAAAATAGAAATCTCAGTCCTACAATTGGAGGAGCTGAATTATGTCCAAAACCAGGTAATCCTGAAAGAGTACCCTGAACTTCAGGGAGGACACAGTATGGCTGACCCAGGCTTTGCAAGATTTTGAGCAGAGAACCCAGCTGAGCTATATCAGACCCTTGATCCACTGTGAAGTAGCAAACACACACCGCTCTGTGATGCTAAGCTTGGGGTGATTTGTGACATAGCCACTAACCAATCCATGAGGTACAGTGCTCCAGCGTTGGGGACTCCACACATGAGCACTGGAGAGATAGGAAGATCAGCTGAGTTCATCTCCCTTCCCTACCTGGTTGGGGGCTTCATGGGCCATGGTGCCCAGAACTCTCATTGCCAGGTGGCGCTTTTTAGCACTGGGGTCCCGGGCTCTTTCTGCCAAGATGAAAAACACATTCTTCAAAGGTTCCCGCTTCTGGAACCTCAGTTTCCAGGAAACCTGGGTAGTAGGTAAAAAATGTATTAATTGAGGTCTGGCTGACAGTTGTACTCAGAGTCCAGACTTAACCAGATTTCCTCTCTCTAAAGACAATCCTTTCATTGCCTGCTCAGTTTTGCCCTTCATCCTCCAACTAAATGTGTGTGTGTGTGTGTGTGTGTGTGTGTGTGTGTGTATGCACGCACGCGTGTGTGTGTTACTGGGATCAGTCTCAGGGCCTTGTGTATGCTGAGCACACACTCTACTATTGAGCCATGGCCCCATACCCCATACCCAAGAGGCGCCTGACTTCATTTGAACAGTATTCTGTTCTATTCTGCATCATGAAGAAAATGATAGAGGAAGAGAAAAGGAAACAGAAACATAATACAGGTCTTGGGGAAATTAGAGATGCTCTGCAGCAGTGATAGGTTATGACAGAAGTTAAGAAGGAAGAATCATATAGGGTTGATGTGAGAATGCAGGGTTAGGCCTGCACCACCACACCCAGCTCCTCCTGCTCTCCCTTGCATCTTCTGCAATCTGGCTCATATTCCCCCACCTCCATCCCACCGAGGCCAATTCCAGGGTCTATTCTCAACAGTCATCCTACTCAACCTGCCAACGCTGTGTGACACAGTTGGCAAAGCCCATCAGCAAACATTGGTTAGCCATCTACAAACATCTCAGGGCTCTTAAAGATCATCCTAAATCCAGAATGCATGTATCTGAGTGGTTAAGATTAGGAAGAGGGATGCATAAATAATTCAAGTCAGGAAACATTCTGTGTCTGATGCAGAAACCTGTGCTTCAAAGACTAAGCTCTGAGTAATTACAGGGCAGGAGCTGGGGCAAGAGATGAGCCCCTCTGTGCAGTAAGCAGAGGAGCTCGGTGCCAGGAAGGCCCTGGTGTTCTTCAAACACAGAACAAGGCAACTGGTATCAGAGTCAGAACCAAGACAATAAAAGATTCAGATAAGATCAGAGACAAAAGCCACCTCCCCACCATCCTCAGGAAGTGTAGAGCAGGGTTGACGCAGATCTAGCTATCTCTATAGCACTATCATTATTGGGTTAGCAGCAAGTTAAATCCTTCTCAACTGTTCTCTGTGTCTTCCTATGATCTATGCTAAAAGAACAGATTGGCTTTAGCAGAGCCCTCGATAGAGCAGGTCCAGCTAATGACAGACCAAGCAGACGCACGTCTTTAGGGATGGAGCACCTGTTCAAACGTTTTGTGTCAGACCTTAGAAAAGAAAGATATCATTGCTGTCCTTTTCTTCTTGGGCTTGGACTTGGAAGCAGGAGTGGAAAGGGGTTGGCCCAGGAGTCTCTGTTTTTCGTCCATGGAACTAAAACAGAAAAGTCAAAATCATCACATGAGCCACAAGCCCCCATGTGCAGCCTTCTTGTCAATAGACATTGCTGTCAAAAGCACCACATGGATGAGGATGTAGAGGCAGTATCAGGAGGCCTCTCACAGGACCATTAGCCCTGGTGAGGACAGAGGACAATTACACAAAAAGGTAAGAAGCAACCTGAGGCAGCCCTCAAAGAATGGCAGCATGGGCCCCACGGCACAGCTCTGCAGTCCCATCCTGCATATTGCTTGATCACAAGCACCCAAGGAATAAAACTCTTATTTCTGGCCTCCTCCACAGAGTCCTCAAGACTTGAAGAAAACAGTAAACTCAAATTTTGTCTTTTTGAAAGCTCCCCAAAAAGGAGCTTTATATCTTGGTGTCTTAAAAAGCACCACGCTTTCATTTAGCAGTTCCTTAGTCCTGCGTTCATTATTAACACATCGTATGCTCAAAGGCACGCAGGTAGGAAGCGGTTCTGGAAGTCCTCTTTTGTCAGTATCTTTATGAGTGTGATTTTAAAAAACAGGCACGGTGAAGCCTGCTGCCACTTAGTGCCAATCAGCAGAAAGAGGCTAGGCAAATCATTGTGGTGCAGCCTTCCTCCCCGTCACTCTCCGGGGAGGTCACCATGTGACCTCTGCTTCTCCTCCAAAGTCAGAATGGCCATGAAAGGTAAACATTTTGCATCAGTGGAGGATGTCGAGGAGGCCATGACAACACAACTAAAGACACACAAGACTTCCGGAACTGTCTCAAAAAGTGGAGACAATGCTGGGATTGGTGTGTCTGAAGGGAGGGGGACTGTTCCAAGGGTGACAGATAGCAGCGTGTCTTCTACTGCAGCATATATTTTTTTAAATTTAAACATTCACTGTATTTTTGGTCGCTCTTTATATATAAGAGATGGGGGCATGGGATATAATTCAGTGGCACAGGATCTGCCTAACAAGCCCAAGGTTCTGAGTTTGATGTCCAGTACAAAGAA